TAGAAAACAAAAACAAAAGAAAGACATAATATACAAATACACGCATCAAATATAAGATGCTGTAATAACATGTAATTGAAGCAAAACCGTTTTAAAACATTCATGAATGAAGATGGAATCTTTACATAAAGTTGGTTTTATATCCCTAAATTAAATGGTTATAAAACAAAACTATTCTATTGTTATTTGAGATTTATTACAGAGGCACTTGAACTAGTTTGAACCATAGTGTGGTAATCCCATACAACCTGTTGTGTTCGAACCCAACACGTTTAAGTTACAAAGAGTGCAAGAGTGAGATATAGTAGATTACCAGTGACTAGTGACGAAGACTATGCAATGAAATAAATTGGATTGTCCAAATTTTCCATTTAATTAACTTATTTGATGGTATGATCTTCATCTAAAATTAGTGATATATTTGTGTTTCACTCACAACTTCAAATATTCACCTTGAGATATGAATGTTTACGATTCGATTTTATGGGGGGGGTCGTAGATGGACATCTACGTGCAATTAAAAACTAAGGCATATTAGCTACAGAGTCAGCGCTTTCTGTTAAACCTGTATTTAAATGGCTACTATTGGTTTGATGTGATAACTAATGCGGACTAGTAAAATTCATACGTTGGCATACTCAATTCAAGAAAGTGACAACCAAATTTGTTAACCTTAATTCTGTTGGTTGGCTTGTAAGAATTATTCTAAAGATCCTTAGTTTTTATACGAACCAACTGAAATCGCAAAGAGACGATCGAGAAAGTCAGTAGTTACTCTGTGTGGGTTCTGATAATTGGTACCACAAATTCTTGTGATACCTTTGCTTATGGCTACAGTTAACGTTGTTGGGATCATTTTAGATTCAAGGGCTCGATTACAAAATGAGAAACATTTGACGTCTAACATATGCACTTCATTAATGAACGGAAAATCAGGAATTATTTCTGACTATTCTTTTTTCACATTATTGAGCTATCTTGTGATTAATCTGATCCTTGACCTCTGATTTTAAATTATCAATATTCTCACTTGAAAGAATAGGAAAGCACTAAGTTCTGCTAATAACTACGTCGATTTCATCTATAGCAACAGTATGAACAACTTCTTCCCGTTTCTTCATTCCGCCTTCTGGACACTGAATAAACTTAGCTTGACCGCCATTGGCATCATACTGCTGACGTCTAGTAAACGACCAACCTAGTCCTGTAATTTTCCAAGAGAGTCTACCAGTAGTAATAATATCACTAAAAATAAAGCATACTCAGTGGAAAATTACCTGGCTTAAACTTTCTCCTCTGTTAGGGATTCAATCATTTTTGAACCCAGGTTATCATCTGTTGACATTCCAATTGTTTGAAGGATTACTTCGAAAATCTTTGCATTCATTCCAGTTGCCGAATAGACTATTAGAACTTCGACAATATCTCCATCGATTGTTTTCGCTTCCTCTTTGATCCACTCATCAATTGGCTTATGAAATGTTTGAGTAACAGCTTCTATCTTGCTCATCTGTAGTGAGAATATTTCGCTGTCAGTCATTTTAGTGAATGATGTTTCCCAACCAAGTGCTTGAGTCGGATCAGAGCACTTCCAGACTTTCCGGTTTCAGGCAGATCAGTAAGTAATATAATACATTCAGCGAATTTATATCATACCTAAGATAAGGTTAACTGCTCTTCTTGCCTTACATTAGTCTACTCTACTCCAAATGGTTTGTCTAGTTATAAGATTATCATTTGACCTTGGACAACGAGTATACGAATGAGCACTTATGTATAAAATAGGCTTAATTTCTCTAGCTACAGTTAAACTGACCATTCGTATTTTGAATTTTTTACATTGTTTTAAATTCATACTTAAAGCCTCTCTTCAATATGATGATATTTAGTTGACATGAGTGTTTACTAAAGGACATGGTTAGGAACTTTAGATACGAAAATGATTTATTTTATATTAAATGCTTTCACCATATAAACATTATGGCCTGAAATCTGACTCCAGTTAGATCGTATGATTGATTACTATTGAATTATATATATATCGCCAATTCTCGTATATAATCACCAACTTATATCGAGTTAATGAATGACGGAATTAAATAAGTCAAATACGAGAATGGATGTTTGAATACGTATATTTTGTACAATCGTTGATCGGAATCGACAATCAGAGAGACGTAGCAAAGGAAGGGAAGAAGAGAGAGAGAGCGAAGCGAAATGAAACGACACGCAATAAAGAAGGTATGTGAATCAACTCAATTTAATCAAGCGTTAATCAATATTTATGTTCACACAAAGTAAGTTATGAACATGTATTGAGTAGGATAAAATATAACTTACATACACACACACATACGCTCATATGAAAGCAGTCAGTGTAGATAAGTGAAAAATTAACAAGGTCAAAATGTAGCTTGAGGAGAATGGATAATCTGGTTTGTCCGGAAGCAACAATAAGCTATATGGACTCGACATAAGATCATCCATTACGATTTCAAGCATTCTAATATATACAAAATTTTCAGATAAAACTTTGTATCTGTTCAACAAACAACAATAAAAAGACATAATACAATGGTTCACTCATTATTCAAACTTTTCAATATATATGCATATTGATTCTAGGAATAAACGTAGAAACCACAATGATGTGTAGGATACATAAAATCATAATAGTGAAGTTAGGCGTTAACAAAAGATTGATTCATGTATATTATTTAGCATTTTTAGCATTTTTTTCGCGAGTTAGTTTTCTACGGGATGGGGACGATAACCCCATGCCCAACCCTCCTCCTTTATCCGGGCTTGGGACCGGCAGTAGCCCCTGGAGGGACTCCAGACGGAGTTATGTATATTATTATTATTATTAGATATTGTTTATTATGTCACCAAATCTATTCTGATTATTAACGGAAACAATGAAGAGTGAATAGTGAAAACTAATAATTTATGTGTGGATTTGTTTTTTCAGAATAAAGATAAAACAACTTCGATTGTATCTTATTGAATATTTCATTTATCTCTAAATGATCAGGAATTTGTTGACTTTTAATCATCGATGTTTTTGTTGTATTCTTAATGTATCATTGAAAAATGTTAAAGTTAAGAATAGAATACAACTAGGTAACGATTTTACAATATATATTCACACTAAAGAGAGATGATAGTGACTAGCAGTGAACGATCGTTTCGTTCTATTTCGGACTCATCAGCTGGATATACCTCCATACTAGACTGATTTATTACAGTCCTAAATATCAATGTGATGATTTAAAAAACCAGTACAAAAATAAAATTATGCACATAAACATTTCAAGAGAACACAGTTAATGGACCGTTATTACTTGTAGTATAAATGAAAAGTATGAAACACTAAATCTCTATTTTTTCACCATTAATGGATATTCGAACGAAGAATTTTTTTCTTCGTCTGTTATATTGTTGGCTCATTGGATATGAATTTAACAACGTTCGCTCTTTATGTTTCTCCAATTTATGAAATAATCTACTGTTCATCCGATGTTGATATTTTCTTAGATCAGTTATCATCAACAAAATTTCTATATCACAATAGAATCACAATATCACAATTTCTATATCACAATCACTACTACTACTACTACTACCACCATTACTGTTAGTGTAGTGAACGAAAAATTGGTGGGGCAAACCATCTTATTGTTTAACGCGAAATCACACCGTTGCTTAGTAACATATGAAAATCATACATTAAATACATCATACTTAAATCTTCCTTAAGCTGTTCTTTACATAATCCGCTATTCCTCTCATTTTGTCGGTATTTCGATTGCCGTTAAATTTTCTTTCTTGTTCTATTCATTACAATCTTATGATGCCAAGTTTTACACTTCCAACTGGGGCCATATTCTACTTATATGTGTCAATATAAGTAGCACTACTACCACTATTATGATACTTGGACTTTATTTTAATCTAAGTTACAAACATTATTACTAATCCAGGTAATTTGACACCAATGTGTGGAGTGTTCTATGCTAAGTATTATTGACTGATTTATTTTGTTATTATTGGCTTTATTCAATATTATATATTTTTCGTACAATATAGAATTCTCAGTACAAAGTATTTCAACAAGTTTCCATTTCTTATTTCTTGATCGATATTGACGATAAATGTTGAGTGATCGCCAGTTAGATGTTAAAATTTCAGAAATCATCATCTGAATAATATTCATTCTTTTCAATGTACATTGCCAGCAACCACGATATCTTTGATTGAGCTCTTTTGTAACTTGTACAGCGAAAAGTCGTAAACTTTTCACAAACGTACCATAATAGGTTATGCAAATAGTTGACATAATGATCTGTTAAAACAAACAAGGAAACAGATAACTTGTTGAAATATCTAGATGGCAGGAACGGGTAGACCAGATATTCTAGCAGGCTGCGTTCTAAGAAATGTTTGTTTGAGTTTTTGCACAACAAATAAAGAAAAAAAGATTTCATTTTACATAACAGATATATCTTTTCGATAACTGTTTTACTGTACTGTATGATTTCATTACCGAATGCTGAACATCGATCAATATATGATTCCAAAGAATAGCTTAACCTTACGGTCAGATTATTGGCTCAAGAGAACATATGCATCGGTCACACATATTTCCGAATATAGTATCAATTCAAATCAATAAAAATTGATTGATTGGGTATGTTAGAGAGATCATAAAAGGAGTATAACATTTATCAAAACAGACATATCAATAACACATTTCTTATGATCTAAAGTAACTAGATTCAATTCATTTCCTTTCTAAATTTTGATAAACACTTTAATTGCATTCTCATCATCTCAAAAATCCAGTTGTATAATCTGAGCATAGAATCTACTTATGAATGAAAATATAGATTTTATTTGTTTATTTACTCAACATAATCTCGAATTACAAACGAAATAGGATTGTTAATTAAGTTTACACTTGAAATCTTTGAACATACATATGTTTGTTTTAACATGAGATGAAACTTGTTTATCTAAAGGTTGCTAACAAAGTAAACAATATTGTTTTGTTGCTTTGTCTCTAAAAGAGAAAAAAAAACATTTTATGTAGGATAAACAACCTTCTATTTGTAAACAATTTTGAATGTCAGAAACTGTTACTATTGATATTTCTCAATATAACATCGAATGCTCCTCCTCCTCCTCCTCCTCCTCCTACTACTACTACTACTACTACTACTACTACTACTACTTCTACTACTGCTACTGCTACTACTACTACTACTACTACTACTACTACTACTACTACTACTACTGCTACTACTACTGTTAATAACAATAATAATTCTGACAAATAGATAAAATCACAACAACCAACATATTCTGTTAAAGTTACAACAAAACTAAGACACTGGATAAGTGTAATCCCTTGGGAAACTGAGTATTTTGTTACTAAATATGTAGTTTTATAATTCATGATAAATGATTATTTGTGTAAATGTTATCTGTATATAAGCAAAGATGGATAGTGGCTAGTAGTTGATTCCAGGACGCTCATTTCGTCCAATTTGGGACTTTTCAACTGGATGTACCTGCATCTCAGAGTTGATGTTTACTATGAGACTCGAAACCAGTGCCTTACATATGCCAACAAGAGACTGATCAATTGAAGTCCTAAATAACAATGGGAAGATACAATTAGATAACACCAAGTGAAGTTATCTGTATATGTGAGTATTCTTTGATACAAAGACTTGATAGAACTATATGTTATTAATTCTGCTTTCGAATTGTCAATAATAAGTTTCTTTAAAGGAATAGAAATGAAAGCATGCATATGTGAAAATGGAATGGAAAAGTATCATGGTAAATGTCAGCTTGTACCACAATACTAAAAAAGCATAAGTTCACATTTCTCCAGAACTTTCCAACTTGTTTTTTTATGAAAACATACTTATATATGCATTTAATTATAAGCCTTACAGTCAATAAATAACAAGGGGCACTACTTTTTCACAATATTCAGTTACACTTAGATATAATAGACATGTTCTATACAAATTTTCCCTTGACATCTTTAACTAAAGCAAGAATAACGTAACAGAACAATATAAATTTATTATATTTTGCAGTTTCTCATTAACTACTTACAACCTAAAAATAGTAGTATTGTTCATGCAAAATTAATGAAAAAAATAATAAGTATGGAAGAATCTGTTCCAGAATTTATTCAACAAGAGAGAAGACTGGATACTGCTTTTAACTACACGTAACAGTGGATGTCTAAATTCAATTAACAGAGATAACTGTTTTTTATACGCATTCAGTAAGGTGAGACAATTAAATTCGGTTCTTAAAAATAACCCTATGTAAAAAAACAGTAGTCGAAGTATAAATAATGATTGACGAAATAATATGAGAATCGATAGTCTTTTACAGACTTGATCACAGCTTAAATACTTATGTTAGATGCCTCAAGCAAATGTTTTTAAATCCAAGTTCCAATGTAATCATCAATACACAACTGTAGATAAATCTAGCTGATGAGTTCCATATAGGACGAAAAATGTAACCTGGACTTCATAGCTAACAATAACCCATGTATTTTTGATTGTTTTTTTACAGTACCATTTATGAGTTATAGTTCACAGAAATTAATTTACAGCATTCATTAGCCACTTTCAAACCTATTACACCAAATATCAGAATAATTAGAAAACATTTCATCAATCAGAAGCTGGTTTTGTGGAGATTATAGTAATTTCAGTAGTTGGGATCATGAGTCAATTAAAGCTAGACCATCATGGAAAATCTGGAAGCACTGGATTGATTTGTCCTGGGTTCGAATCCCATAAGGCGGAGTCGTGGATGCGCATTGCTGAGGAATCTCACAATAGGACGGAACTGCCATCCAGTGTTTCCAGGCTTTCCATGGTGGTTTAAATTCAATTGACTTACAATCTCAACGGTTGAAATTTCATTAGTCGATTGTAATCAATAGTCGAATGCGATTTAGAAAAATCACAATGTCTATTAAACAAAGCAGTTCAGCAAACTTATACGCATCCTTTTTTTCTATTCTCATTTAAGTAATATGTAAGTTTTTAATAAAAAATCTCATTTTTTTATTCTTTTGACATAAAATCTACATAAAATTATCAATAATCTTGTTCAATTTTCTCGTAACATCTTCAATGTACCTTCTAGTTTCCTCCTATTCCCCTGCTATTTCCTTCATGCTTTAATGTTATCCTGTTATATAAATGTTTGTCTTTTTTAAACACAGATTATATATTCCACACTAATGGATGGATTTCTATATACTTAAGTAAAACAAACATGTTACATAAATCTATGTTTGGTAATATACCAGAAGATGAAATTGAAGTGGAGTTAAAGCAAAATAAAAATAATAATAAGATTTTATAAATACATAGGTTATTGATTCGTTTATATCATGGTGATGGTTTTTAGCAAGGTTCTGTTCTATGAGATTGGGTTGATGACCACATACCAAATCCTCCTATTTTATCCGGTCTTGGTTCCGAAAGTGACCCTATGATGGCTCCAGGCGGGATTAAATAAAAAGCATCTGATGCAGATATAATGACACGGATTGGCAAAACAAGGTCAGCATTCTCACAATTAAAAAACTGGAATTCAAAATAACTGTCAGTTAATATCGAAGTGAGGATTTCAAATACAAACATCAAGACAGTTCTATTTTACGGAGTTCAAACTTGTAGAACTGCCAAAACCATTATAAAGAAACACAGGAGTTTATAAACTGTTGTCTACGTTTGATGCATCAGATATATTGGCAAGTAATCATCAACAACAACTTACTGTATGAGAGAATGAGCTCGATTCCCACTGAATATGAAATTAGAAAAGTCGATGAATGTGGATAGAACACACACTGAAGAAATCGTCAAACTGCATCACAGAGCAATCCCTAAATCGGAATTATCAAGATAAATCGAAAACAGACAGACCATAAAACATATTTTGCAGAGAATTGCAGGCATACATCAAAGAAATGAATAGCACTTGGCAAGAAGTGGAAAGGAGAGTCCAGAACAGGGCAGCCTGGAGGATCTTGGTCGGTGAATCATGTTCCATGAGTGATGGCAGGCTCAAGTAAGTATACCACAATAATGAAATCACTGTTTGGGATAAAAATATATATCAGATTAACTATATTTCATTGATCTTTTGAGTATTGACTAACGCCATGCTTGTTTAGTCCATTCAAGGCTTACTGATTACTTCCACCAAAATTTCAGCTATTAGCCTGAGTGAATTAACGTCGTTTATATGAAATGAATAGACAAGCATCAATCGTCACTGCTTAGTGATCAATTAACTTTAAATATCTCAGTTATACAAAGAGTCAGTCGTGGCATGAATATCTCAATGGCAACGTATAGATTGCGAAACTAGATGATGAGTGATAAAATCCACAATGGAATACTAGTTACCTTAAGATTACAGTTAGTTCTTACTGATGAGTACTAATTGCATTAAAGCAATTGTAAACATTTTTATATGGGTACTTTAAACTTTTGATTGAAATCATGAGTCATTTGAAGTTAGACTACCATCAAAAACCTGAAAGCACTGGACAGCTGTTTCGTAATAGTATGGTACTCCTCAGCAGTGCGTATCCACGATCCCGCACCCCACGAGATTCGAACCCAGGATCTATCAGTCTTGCACCAGGCGCTTAACCAACTAGACCACTGGACGGCAATGTCAGGTTGATTAATATACTTTGACTGTAATAAGTTATTATTTCAAACAGGAATTAACTATGATGTAATACGTGGTTTTGTATTAGATACTTTTATTCTTACGAAAAGGTCATTGATTTCTACAAATTCTTATATTTTGAATGTGATATAATAGTTCAACTAGTTTAAACTATGATTAGTTAATGAGTTGACAGTTTAATTCAATCAATCATGTATCATTCAATAAATCATGGTTATATTTCATTACTATTCACTATAACTTACTGCTTGCCCAGTTAGTCACTTAGAATTGTTATCAAATATATTATGAATCAATCATATAGTGTATTATTCATTAACTAATCAGTACATACATTCAACGTATTCTCTTGATGTTAAAAAGTAATTTTTAATGGAGAAATTATGTAATGGATTTTGAAAATATGTACGACTTGATTTTGGCTGTCCATTTTGTTATTTGCTGACAAAAATGATGAATGGTAACTGTTGAGAACTATTTATGCACCATTATGATACATATATTTGTATTGGATAATTATTAAGTAAATAAACTATTCATAATCGTGTTCTTCTTATCATAAGATTTATTTTAACCTACGAACTATTATTATACGATTTACCGTTCTTGAGTTATGCCCTGTCTATCAATTGCTATCTTCCACATTCACAGCCACTTTTGGCTAAATCTTGTATAAATGTTGTTGTTTATTTTATTGTACGATGTTGTCTGTTTGATTTGTATATAAACCCAGTCAATATGTTTGAAATACATGATTCATATTGATGAGGCTGAGATTGATGTTCTAGACTCAACAGGCAAGGCTAGGCTGGAAGAAAGACCGATAAAGACTTAAGACTGCTCGTGCGGGTTTACATGTCATTGATCCAGTCGATAAATCACTGTTCCCTAATTAGCGGTATCATTACATCATATATTAATAGGGCACAAAGAAAAAAGTTATAACACATTTAAAAGTCATTTTACTTACCATAGGATTTAGCTAACCCATGTGGATTTATCAATTAAGATATAAAACATGTTATACTTGTATCCTTAGGGGTTTTGTGGGGATTGTAGTTATTTCAATAGTTGAGATCATGAGTAGATTGAAGCTAGACCACCATGGAAAACCAGAAAGCACTGTATTGATAGGTCCTGGGTTTGAACCCCGCGGGCGGGACCCCGGATGAGTACTGCTGAAGAGTCCCACAATAGGACGAAACGGCCGTCCAGTACTTCCAGGTTTTCCATGGTGGTCTAGCTTCAAATGACTCCCGATTTCAACTATTGAAATTACATGTCATATTATGTATGATCTATGTACCATTATTTTTTCCTGTACAAACTATTCATTTGTTCTAGAACTTAAAATCTTTTAGATTTTAGTGAAGTCATTACCATTTATTCAAATTGTTTTTGTTACGTTTCAGTAATTTTGAATGTGATTATCTCACTTGAATACGCAAAGAAATTTCCCACTCCAGAAATATGATGTATACACATAAAGTGATGAGGGAAATAAAGTTATGTGTTTGAAAGAAATCTATTACATTGATCATGTATATACGCAACTATATTTGACTGGATTCTATCAGTCGATTAG